GTGGTGGTGGTGTGTGTGTGTGTGTGTGTGTGTGTGTGTGTGTGTGTGTGTGTGTGTTTTGCTGCTCCATAGAGAAGGGGAAGCATCAAAGGTGCCCAGGACGGGCTGACGAGGACACAGACCCCCAGGCAGGAGGGGATGGGCCCAGCGTGAGATGGGGGCAGAAGAAGACTCGTGTGTTTGCTTTGGACTGGGGTCCCCTGGAAGGGCTGGACTTTTCCTTTAATGGCTTTGCTGGAGGGGCAAACTCCCGTTCCAACCCAGCCAGGCTGGACGAGAAGAAACACAGGCAGCGGCTAGCCCAGAGCCAGACCAGGTAGGCGGCATCGCTGCAGTGGGGTATCCAGCCCAGAAACTTGGTTTCCCCTCAATGTTCCCTTTTGATTTGCAGTTCACTGTTAAACAACAAACACACCTGGAATGATAGAACCCACCAGCCTTGTAGCCAACCCTGCGCACACGCATTTTACCCCAGTGCTCTCGTCCCATCCAAGAGCGGCGGTGGTTTCTGCACACTCGGAAGGACTGGAGTTTTATCGGTAAATGTCGATTTCATTTTTATTAATGGCTATTAGCCAGGATGGGTAAGGAATGGTGTCCCTAGCCTCTGTTTGTCAGAGGGTGGAGATGGATGGCAGGAGAGAGATCACTTGATCATTACCTGTTAGGTTCACTCCCTCTGGGGCACCTGGCATTGGCCACTGGCGGTAGACAGGGTACTGGGCTGGATGGACCTTTGGTCTGACCCGGTACGGCCGTTCTTATGTTCTTATGTTCCAATGATAATTATTCAAATTTACAGCTAGGCCAGGTAAGAAAAATGCTGCTTCAGAAAATATTAGAATTGGATTGAAGGCTATTTACGTTGTCAGCCTGGCATGTCAAAATGACAAGGACAAAGCTGTGTATTCTGTCTTCTGGTAGCCCCGTCGGTCCTGGGATATTAGAGAGACAAGGTGGGTGAGGGAACGTCTTTTACTGGAGCAGAGAGACCGGCTCTGGAGCGACACAAGAGCTTTTTGAAAGCTTGTCTCTCTTGCCAACAGAAGGTGGTCCAATAACAGATGTTTCCTCCCCCTTCTTCTCTCATGATAAAGTTTTAATGTTTTGCATCTCAAGGTCTGTCATTAAATAATTACTTCCTGACCCCCATCCCCCGATGTCCTGGAACTGTGAATATATAAATTGATAAACACTGAAAAATGCTTAAAACCCATAATCCAAACACCACAGGAAGCTTGAGGGGTCACTAGGCTGCTGTCAGCCCAGTCAGCTCTGCCCGCTGCACCTGTAGCAGGGCCAGGATGGAAGGGAAGGAGCAGGAACCCAACAGCCCTCATGGGGACAGGGGAGCTGGGCTAGGGATTGGAACTGGGAGGCCTGACTGGGCCTCCCTGCGGGGACAGAAGGCCCTGACAGGGGACTGCTTGGAAGTACCTGGGATGATTCCTAACGCAAGGCCCCGGAAGGGGCAGGAGAGCGACTGTGAGCTGAGTCCAGGGGGTGGGCAGACGGGTAACGGAAAAGGGGCAGAGAACTCAGCCGAGCTGGAACAAAGGCTCCTATATCTTGTGTGTGGTTGGACTCTGATTGCCTGGAAGTGGACTGAGCGTCTGTGTTGGGATATATATATATCAATATACGTTGTGATTCATCTGTCCATGTAATATGTTATAGGACATTGAGTATGAATGCCGCGTGCTTGACATGATTGTGTGCGTTGCAAGCTAGCAATCGAAGCAAGGACTTAAGGTCAAGGACCATTAGAACTCTTTGTGCAAAAACAATTTTATGTTCTGAGAAAAATACGGAAAATCCTCAGAAGAGAAAATAACCCCAGCTGGACTGATGTAAAATTGTCTACGAGTTGGAGGAAATGGCATGCCTCGGATCATGGCGGCCCACCCAGGATTGTCTCTCTGGAATTGTGTGGGTAGAAGCCTAGTAAACAAAGGCAAAGAACCGATGATGGGACGGAATGGACTATAAATGGACTCCTATGATTTCTGCAAATCGGAGTCATTTATTGATCCGGAGTCCCATGTGGATATAGATGTGGTTTACTCCGGCTCCCTGCATCTTATGATCTTATCCTGACGGAAGGAACCTCGACTGGCCATCGGGATCATTCTGACTTTTAGACTCGGGTATAGTATGTTTAGGGTGTGAATGTGCAGTGAGTAAGGTTTGTTTTGTAATCAATGAAGAGTATTTAGAGTATTATATACCAACACTGTGTCTCGGTATCTGCTTGCTCCCCATCCCACAGGGAGACCTCGATTGTGGGTCTAACACCTCTACTGACTCAGCCAGAGAGCTGAGCCAGGTGAACCGTCCCAGCAGGTGGGGAAACTGAGACTGGGGAAACTGAGGCAGGGCACCGGCAGCCCGTGCCCAGCCAGGAGGTGGTGGCAGCCCATTCGCAGTCAGGTTTAGGGGGCTCTGGATGCTGAGTTTCACTAGTCCCGACCTCCCCATCTGAGTCCCAGCAAGGCAGGGCAAAGGAGCAGGGATGGGTCCAAACCCCGGCCCATCGACAGCTGTGCTGCTGCAGTTCCCGTTCGCAGTAGGGGAGTGAAAAGACCCCGTTGCAGATGCAGACGTCGCCCCACGCAGCCAGGAAAGCTCCTTGCACTGGCCCTTTGGCTCAATCCAGCCTCTCTTTGCCCCGGGTGAGGACCTGCACCATGACGATGGCTGTGACCAGGGCACCCAGCAGGAGAATCCCCTTCACGTGGCAATGGGTCGCTGTGCTGCTTGGCCCCGCTGGGACGTCAGTGCTCGGGAAAACTGAAGGAAGAAACGTGACAGGGTTAGTTCATGCGGGAAGCGATCGGTGACACTCTGCGGTTGCTGCACCCACAGAGTGCAATAGGGGAAGGGGCTGGGGCGCCTGGGAACCCGCGCACCCAAGGCTGCAGAGGTCTCTGCCAATCTAACACAGGGGCAAATTCCTTCCTGACCCCAGCTCCCCGCCATTGGATCTCGTTGTGCTCTCTCCGGCTAGATTAAAGAGCCCTCTGCGATCCGAAATCACTGAGACTTGTAGGCTAAGATCCAGTCACCTGCCAACCTTCTCTTAAACTAAATAGACTGAGCTTCTAAAGTCTCTCCTTGTAAAGTGCATTTCTCAGACCTCAAATTCTTGTAGCTCTTTCCTGAACCCTTTCCAGGTGGAGAGTTTCTATATTACAAGAACCCAAACCTAACCAGAGCCCATTGTGATGGGAAACATTCAACCAGCTCCAGTTGTAACGGGTCAGGGCATTTGTGACCCAGGAAAGGACCTGCCTGGTCAGCCAGCAGCATCACAGCGCTTTCAATTTTCCACTGTGGGAAGTTTCAACTTCGGGAGCAACGTTCATTGGGTGAGTCGTATACTGAGGACTATTTACCTGTGGCTGGGAAGTCGCACAATGATTTGACATCTACAGTGTCTGCGCCCCAGCTGACTCGGTTACTAGCGTTACATCGGTAGAAGACGTCACTGCTGTTTGCATTAATCACTATGTGCAGCAGGGATTGGTGCCCATGGAGCTGATGGTCCCGGTCAGACGGGATCTGGGACGTGCCTCGGGACCAGCCGTAGGTGACTCTGTCAGCGCCAGGCACGGAGCAGGACAGGGTGACGTTGCACTGGCTGAGCTCCGCGTGGGCAGAGAGCACCGTGACGTTTGGCTGCCGGACTCGGTCTGAAAGGAGAGACCCTGGTGAGAGAGGCTGAGGAAGGCGGCTGCCGTCAGTGACACACACTAGGGAAAAACGTGATCTTTGCTACTCACCAAACACAGAGACACGGAACTTTGTGCGGTCTTCACGGCCTCCTCCAATGTCAATTAGCAAGGAATAGAGGCCTCTGTCTGACTTCTTAACGGGATCAAACTGCAGTGAGAGACTCTCAGGGTGGAAAGTGACTCTGTTGATAAAATGTGGGGATGACCCAAGGTCAGGGGGATCCACTTTATTAAATGTTACAATCCGATACGTCTCTGCTGAGTCTAGTGTAACCTCCCAGGTCAATTCTGTCCAAGTCTCTGGCAATTTCACTGGCAGTAACTGGACGGATTCCCCTGCAATTGCAGCCACTTCCATTTCTTTGCAACCTGGGGGTTCAAAAATACAAGGAGCAGGTGAGTGAAGGGTTAACTGAGTCCAGAGTTTGTCAGCGAAAAATGGGCTAAAACAAGACCATTCTTAGCCTGGTTTCAGGGAATTTGAAGCTGCTCAGAGGTACTGGGTAGACAGCCCTGGAGAAGAAGGGCTCTGTTTATCCACAGAACAAACCTTACATGACGTGACCGCTCTTGGGGTGAGAAGGGACATCTGTATTCAGATCCCATGTCGCTCTCTTGGAATTGTGCCATAGCTGGATTTAGAATCCTAGCGCTCGTATATCCCTTTTTATCCGTAGCTCTCAAAACAGTTTACAAAGAAGCTAGAACAGCCTTCTTTCTATCTTTCAGATGGGGAAACTGAGGCACAGAGTGGTGTAATGACTTGCCCACAGTGACACAGTCAGGAATAGAACTCAAGTCTCCTGGGTGCCAGCCCAGTGCTCCTTAAAGGTTCTCTATAGACCAGCTGCAGCTGGGTATTTAAATATTGGAATAATGGGCCTTAATTCTAATCGGCATTGGGTGAAACTGTAATTTGCACCCATTTCTAGGTCCTTTACATGGTGGGCCCTTAGTGTGACTGAGCATCAGACCCAGAAAATTCCAAGTTAAAATTTCCAGAGGGAACATAGTTTTCTTCCAAACCAAAGCGTTTTTAATGATTATATTTGTTATTTACTTTATTATGTAGGATGGGCCAAATCTTGCTCCCATTTACACGCTGGCATAAATTTGGAGTAACCTTTCAAAGGAACCATCTCACGTTTACATTGGTGTAAAGGGGAGCAGAATGGGAGCCAATATTTGCAGTGTGGATAATTTAATCTTAACTCGTCTGAAACTATTCTTATTAATATTCAGTTTGTGATTTTTTTCTTTCAATATTCTTTTTAATTAGGAGACTATTCAATGGGGACAAGAAATATAATTATTTTAGATATTTTCCCAAAATGACAAACCAGTTCTAGCAGGAACCTTGGCCTTTTCCCAAACAACTGAATAGTATTTCAAAACAGAATATTGTGAAAAAAATTACAATTTTTGGATATTTGTATATGGAAAATACTAAGCAAAACTATTGAGTGCCTTGGTGGTTCTGTGAACTTTTTGTTTTTAATTTTCATTCTTTTTTTTCCAAAATATCAACATTTGATTTCTCTCTGAAAATAAAACACTTTCCAAAATTACCAAAAAAAAAATATCAAGGTCTAGAAATCATTTAAATTCATTCATTTCAATGAATTCCATGGCACATTCACAGAAAAATTATGGGAGAAAAATTGAATGGTCAAGTTTTCAAATTTGCTGAAATTTCTGCAAACTTTTTTTATCAGCTCTAGTTGCAATTTAGAAAACTTCTGGAATTATTATTAATTATTATAATGATTATAACGCAGCAATTCCTCGGAGTCCCACTCAGGGCTCCGGCTCCAGATCAGACATGGGGGAGAGAGACCAGGGAGCAGTAGGAGGTTTTTTTGTGGTGCCACCACTAGATGGGGACAAAGACCCGCACCGTGCGATAGCCGGTGACAAGCTTTTAAAGATGTTTTTCTGCATAGACTCCAGGGCGACTGACGCTTGTATGACAGCCCCTTGAATGGCCACAGAAATATTCTTGTCAATGTCTCCACATAGCAAATGATCTGCCAGGTGCTTTAGCGGCCGGGTCTCTGCTGTGATGGGAACCTCAAAGGGCTGAGAAACGCGACTGGCATCTCAGGGTCCTGCCCCAACCTCTCCGTAGCCCTTAGGTCGGCAGGAGAGGGGAGCTTGGGCCCTTCCTAGGGCTGGTAGCTGCTGGCAGTCGCTGGAACAGTATTTCTGAGTTTTTCAACATCCCCACCTGTGGTAACGCCTGGGGCCAGGGCGCGCACAGGCAGAAGTGAAACTAAACAGAGGCTGAGAAGATCCTGGGCCTGATTCTCCATCGCTCTGCACTTTGCAGGGCCGTTTCCTGCAGTGCAAAGCAAGTGTGAAATGCCGCTATTGTGAAGCGGGGACATTTCACACCCAGGGCAATGAACATTTCACACCCAGGGCAATGGAGGATCAGCCCATTCTAGGGCTCTGTTCCCCAGCGGGCTTGGAACATCTCAGCCGTTGCTGGTATCGACTCAGAGAATCAGGCCGCGCCATCCCAGCCCCATTACTCTCATCAGTGAGTTGCATCAGCCATTCCGCTTCCACTCCCTCCC